TTTTTTTTAAAAAAAAAGGAAAAAATAAACATTTCCAAAGGAAAACCCGCGGGGTGGCCCGGCCCGGGTCCGAATCCGGAGTGCATAGGATCGGGCTTCGGGCTTAAATATATAGACCCGAAAAAATCGGACCGATCCGAGTCCGAGCCCAAAAACCTCCGGCCGAGTGCGGGCTCGGACCGGGTCGGACCGGACCGGCCCGATTGACACCCCTACTATAAAAGTTCGGATTTGGAAGGCATTTTAAATTTTTATAAATCAGTTTATATTTATTTTGTACAAAATCAGATATGAAATTATTGAATTAAATAAAATTTGGAGGAAAATTTCATGTACAAAAAATCAAAAGCCGATTTAGGTACATCAAACGAGGAAAAAAATAATCGAATCTAAAACGAGAATATTCTTGGCATTATGTTTTCTATCATTGCTTAGGAAACTTAAAAAGGATCCGAGAAGTGCGATTATTTATTTTACGCCCAAAAATTTCATTTTACTTTTGGTCTATCACAATCATAAACTTTTGTTGCATGAATATGGAAACTCTTTTTTTACATATCCTAATTGAATTGAATTCCTTTTTATCGTTAATTAGAAAAATAAAATGTGTATTTGGTTTATTCAAATATCCTTTTGTGGGAATGTATATCTAAACAAAAAAATAATAATAAATCAAATATGATTCACAACGCCAACTTCTAAGGATTAATTAATGTGGTGTAATTTAATTGATAAAGAATATCTACTTTCTAATTCGGATATATATACATTATTATATAAATTCTCAAAGTGCTTATTCTTTAATATATACCCTTTTCCGTAAAACCAGTCTCGCACATACATTTATATATTACTTTTTTTTTTCAAGTGGGTGCAAATAAATTATATATATTTATATTCAAGTAGTCAAGTGTATTTCTTTAAGAAAGAATTTAAAATAGATTGTGTTTGATATATAAATAGTAAAGTTTTAAATATTAAAAAAAAACCTATTTCGTAGTTTCAAAGTCAATTTAAAGGTGATATTAAGTTTATTTTAAGAGTATTTTTTTCTAATTTAATAGAAAAAGTAAGGGGGTGCTTTATCTCTCCCCTCCCCGGCTGATATACGGAATTGGAAAGGAATTCCAGAATACTTACAAAAAAAAAATTCAAATTGAAAAGAGCTTTTCTAATATTTATAATCTAAATCTTTCAAAAATATTTATATTGAAATTACAAAAGGCGTGATCGTTGGGCTTTGGACATATACTCTCCCACGTGTTCTTGATTTTTGTTGGGCCGAAAATGGGTTTCTTTAGAAGGCCCAATGTAGTTTAGAGTTATTTAGGCTCATTTAGATTTTGTAAAATAAAATGCGTATTTTTCTCCTTTATATTGCGCTATGCAATGTGTAATTTAATTCTATTAGATGAAGATCAATGTGATTCACTTATTTTGCCAAAAAAAAAAAATTAATTAATGGATAGCAGTATAATATATTCAAAAAAATGTTATTTATGAAATAAATAAAAAAAATCGATGGATACATACCAAAAAATAACAAACAAAAATATTTTATCCTTTACAAAACAAAACTATCTATAGATGTAAAACTAGTCCATTTCGCAGCTTGGATCGCGAGCCGGTCTACATTTTTTTCAGACGAACTCAGAATATTTAAGCTAAAAAAACAGACCAAACGAATCAGCTCGTCACGAGTCGATCTGGGGGGGAGCCAGTTCGACAAGTCCACAAGTTGACTCGCGATCCAATTTTTATAATTTTTTTAATAATTTTATATATTTTTATATATAAATTGTATTTTTATTAGTGGATATAATTCACATATTTTGCCCAAAAAAATTGGTTAATGGATTAGCACTATAATATATTCAAAAATTATATTATTTATGAAATAGATATAAATAAAAAATGGATAGATACATACCAAAAAATAACAAACAAAATATCTTATCCATTTACAAAACTATCCTTCATAAGATTTTCGTTTACTTGTATATATTTTGGTTATTTATCATTTATATATGCTCTCTCTCATACAAAAAAGTCAAAATCTGAATGAATATATATGTGTCTCTTTTAATATGTTCTTGCTAAAGATAAGAGTAATTTTTTTATAATTCGAAAGTTTATAGAATTTTGGTCAAATTATATCTTCTAAAGAATAGAAAAAAATCGAGTGAATATCTCTTTTCATATTTGGATTTAAATCCGAGATAAAAATATATTTTAAATATTTTCTTATTATTAGACCACCAAAAATGTATAGATAAGAGTTATATTTTGATCCCAATAGGCAAATGCAGTCGAATTTAACAAAACAATTAAATCTAAACTGGTTTAAAAACGTATGTTTTTTTTTCAAATAAAAATTAATTGAATTGGAATCTAAAATTAAATACTAAAAAATTGAAAGAAAATAAATATTAAAGAAAAGCCGGACCAATCAAACAGAAATATAACCAAGACAGGTCGACCTCTATACGTGCACTATACACATATATGCTTACACGTGTTTGTATATACATATATACTTACGGGTGATGATAAATTAGCTGTACGGCCATTGGAAGAATTTAATTGGAAATATTAAAAAAAAGAAATACCACTATAACATTCGCTTGGTTTACAAACAAAGACCATTTATTCCAATGAAAATCACACACATCAATTGTACCCATTTATTCTTTTCACGATCAACCAATAACAAGAACCCACGAAAGCCATTATTTTTAATATTTGATCAATTACAATTGTTTTTAACTTTAATGGTTGAATATATAAAATATTAGCTAAAAGGACGTCGGTCCAATGTTACCCACATGATGGAAAGTATATACAAATTATATGGTTTTAATAAAAATAAATAAATAATAATAAATTTAGCATCAAAACATGGTCCTTAATTTTGCCAAACCCTAAGAGACAATGACTCCTCTCCTCGAGAGACAACCCTACTTTTTTTCCCCCATATTCCACATTTTATATTATTTTCTATTTTATATTGCTATCGCAAAAAGCTACATTTAATTATGAAATGGTGATCGCAAAAAAAAAGTTAGTGACTAATTTTTATATCATATCTAAGTAATTTACCATTTTAGCATGTGAAATTGACCACCTAAAATGATATTATTTCGAAAACCAATGAATCCATATTTCTCCTTACCACTTGAAATTTATATTTCGAATTTAATAAACCAATATTTGTTTATTTCCTTATTGTATATTTCTATAAAAATATTTACGTATGTTTGAGATATTCAATTTCAAGTCACTTATTTCACTTTTGGACACTCGAAATTAATTTGGATTATTCTCCAATAATTTTGAGAGCTAACCTTATTATATATTAAACCGGAAATAATGCGTGGATTATTTCTCCCAAGGAGATGCCCAAAGAAATAATTAAATAATCCACGTGGAGGTTCCTTGTAGAGAGTCCATGCAGTACTGTGTGCCTTTTGGACCACAGAATCGTTATCACCATATTCAGTGGGCCCCGCTACTGCGTCATCCACCGTACATGTGGCATGATATGGAGCCCGCCTTTATGGATCTAATTGTGGCAGTCAGTTGCCGGCGTCCTGCCCGGGAACATATCTGGCCCCATTCAGGGCCAATACAAGATCCACGTTGTCAACCAAATATAACCAATCATAATCTGACACGTGTTTTTATGATCTTTCGATTAAATTTTTATTTTACAATTAATTGACGTTTTTTTATTTGTTAGATTTGATTTCTGTTTTGTTCATCGGGATTTTTCGATAAAATTATAGGTTTTTATTTTTTTGAAAATCGAATATCTAAATTTATATATTCGTTGAAAGCAACGAGGACTTGAATATGAATAAATTCAATGTATAATTTTTATTTTGAGTTTTTTATTTTAATTTTTGGATTTTGTTTTTTATTTTGTTGTAACTACATTATTTAGTTTTTAGTTATTTTTTATCAAAATATTTTTTTTTAAAAACTAATTTTATAAAAATTTGATTATCAATTTTTTTATTTTTGAATTTCAAAATTTCTAAAAATCTCTTCCAGAACATAATTCCATTACAAAAATATATATATAGTCCAGACTCGCTCCTATTTTGTCTTAGATATGATTTGCTATATAAATTTAATAAATTCTTATGAATAAGATCTAATTCGATAGATTTAATTTAATGAACTGAGTTTTTAGTGATTTTATTAGTAATCGTAGAAAACTAAACTTGTAAAGATTTCTTCTAAATCCAACTTTTAGCCTCTTCGATTGGAAAACTCATATCGTTGATCCGCGCATTTGCGCCACTTTTTCTTCTTTTTTTTTCGACTTTAGCCGTGCATATTTGTGCCATTTATCTCTTATTTTTCTGGTCTAATCATTGAACCACCATGCTTTTTTTTGCACCGACATTACTATCGTGCTATTCGACTTCATCACAACATCGTGTATCTGTACCACGCCTCTATGCCACACCGAAATTTTCAGATCCATCAATAATCCACGGTTTACCACTATTCGAATATCAAATCCAACTATTTTATCTATCAAAAATTCAAACTTAAGTAATTATTTTTCATCTTCTTTTGAAGGATATATCGAGAGATATAGAGAATATCTTTAAAGTTATAAAAAAATATAAAAATATTTTAAAATATTATTGTAATATTTAGATTTGATATTACTTTTATATTTTAAATATTTATATTGATGATGTGATTCTATTTTTATCTGTAAATATTATAATGTTTTAAGTTGAATGATAATTTTCACTAATTTTCTATTATTCTTTATTTTGACATGAACAAAACTAAAAGTGACTTTACTTTAAGACATTTTTCCAATAAAGATTCCATTTTAAAAGATAAAGATTCACAACAAGACGATAAAGAAAACTAACCCTTAAGAAATAGATCATTTTTAATAGTGAAATTTTATTTTTTCAAATTTCAGTCTGTTTGTCACTTGTTATTTTGTACAGAAATAGAAAGCTAAAAGAAAAAACATTAAAATAGAATTGCCAAAAGAGGAAAGGGAAAAATACGATAACCAAAGATAAAAAAAAAATCATGAGAAAACTAATAAGCTAAAATCCACCTCCCAACAAAGAAAAGGGATAAGGCGGTGGCGGCGGACTCAACTCTACCGCTCCTCCAAACGTCGCCGTTTCGCTACACAGCATCTGCCACGTCATCCTCCCTCCGCCGTTTACGCTCTCCGGCAACGACAACGTCGAGGACGACGAGGATGCCGAGACAGCTGACACGTCACCACACCCATCGAAATTACCAAACTGTCCCTTCTCCGTCGGGAATACCCACCTTACAGAACTATCCGGCGACGGATACTGCGTCGGAGAAATCACGCCCTCCTCCGATTTCACCGGCGATATCGTCAGCCGCTGCTTCTTCTCCGGGAATTCTTCGTTATCGGCAGATGCGGAGGCGGCGATCTGGTTTTTCCGGTGATCCTTCTCGAGGATCATACGTTGCAAGAGGTCGCGTTTTCACCGGGTATATCGTCAGCCGCTGCTTCTTCTCCGGGAATTCTTCGTTATCGGCAGATGCGGAGGCGGCGATCTGGTTTTTCCGGTGATCCTTCTCGAGGATCATACGTTGCAAGAGGTCGGGGTCGTCGATGACCTTGTAGAGGAAGGCCATCATCTGGCTTGGCCGCCGCTCCGTCGCCTCGAGCCGGTGGCTTATCCTGTCGATCTCCGCTTCGAGCTCCCTCTGCTCCTCCTTCAACCTCCCAATCTCCTTCACGATCTCGCCGTCGTCCACACACTCCCCGTAGCCACTGCCACGCGTGTGCGCGTGTTTCCTACGCGCTATGTTCTTCAGCAGATGCTTCTGTCCCCGTAGAAAGTGTTCGTTCGCGAACTCCCACCGATCCGGATCCACTTTCCTAAACCCCTGGAAGAAAGAAAAAGACAGAAAATTTCATCAAGGACTCGATGAAATCGTATGAATAACAATGATTCAAACGTAAAACACCATTGCCCGCTCTTAAGAACAAAACACAATGATTCTGAAACCCCAGGAAGAGCAAAAGTTAAGAAATTTTCATCTGGGTCTCGAACGAAATCGTGTGAAGAACAAGGATTAAGGCATGACACATCAGCGTACGCACGTGAGAAACAAATAACAAGGATGTTGAAACTAGTAATCAGAAATCTTTCATCTGGGTCTCGATCGAAAACGCCTAAGAGCAATGATTCGGGCACAAAAACCATCCCAACAGTACGTAAGAAGGATTCGGACATGAAACATCATCGTACATACGTATGTATTGAGTTGTCGGACGAAGCTGCTGAAGTTGTTGTGTTTGAAGTAAGCTGGCAAGATCCGCTGGGAGAAAACCAGAGGGTCGATGACGATGAAGCTGTTGTTGGCGCATCCCCAGGTGATGACCATGTCCGTCGTCGGATCGCTGACCATCTGATATGTTTTCATAACGAATGGTGCGATAACGTTGTTGTCGCCATTAGCCTCCATTTTTTTTTTTCTCAACTCATGGGTTCGCAGTCTGGAGGTAGAAGAAGAAGTGGAAGAACAAAAGCGGGATCATATAAAGAGAGAGGGTGACGGATAATGGTGACGTGGCAGGGTCTGAGCTTTGCTCGTGATATTTACAGGTCACGGGCAATGGGACCCACGCAGGTACTCAAGGCCCCGGCTACTTCCTTTTTATTTTCATTTAAAATCTTTTTTTCCGTGACACGTCATTACCCTTCCACGTGTGTAGATATTTACGGAAATACCATGCGCGAATGTGGCGCGTGTGCGCGTGGAACATGGTCCCTACTTAGTTGATGGACGGGCGCGTCTTTACGCTACGCGACACGATGTGTAGAATCTAGCTGGCGACTCACACTCCGCTCGAGTTTTTATTTTTATTTTTTAAAATTTTAAAATTTAAATATTTTCCATCTTTAGAAAATTAAGTATAACAGGTCTTACGTGGCACCTTCTGCTCTGGTCACGTGTCCGTCTCACTTTTCCCCCCACTTTTTAATAATTATTATTGATATACTTTCTATTTTTGCCATTTGTTTGAGGCATGGGGAGCACTGAATGCAAAATCCAGTAAAAGATTTGCCCTTTTTTGTAATTTTGTCACAGTCACAGACCATCTTTGTTCGAGCTTTGTTTGTTGTACATCTTGCTCTTGATTTTCACTAATATCTAACGTTTTTTTTTTATTTAATCTATATTTATATTTTGTTTATACATATGTAAAAATCTACATGTTAGTCTTGTTTCTTGCAAATATATAAATATATAGTATTAGTTTAAGGAAGAAGAACATCTTCGATTATAAAAGATTTACTTGTCATACATGAGATCTAAATATTTCGCGTTAATATTAAATTAAATGATGAAAATATTTCACAAATTAATTATCTGTGCTTGTGATAGATTTCATGCCTATGTACGCGATACGATGGGATCCGTAACTTTGACGTTTTCTACCTTAATCAACAGGTTTCATGTGATTGTCTGAACTGTGTGTGTATATATATATATAATTATATCTTATTTTTCGTATGTTCTAAGGTCTGAGTTTGATAAACCACTAGAATTGATTCCCCCTCGATTTAAATATTTTATTTTGTTTTCACGTTTTAGTTAATCAAACTATGGGTTAAGTTATCCGGAAATCAAACGATCATAGATAATATCGATTTTATAATTTTGAGCATGCATTTTTATTTGTACATTTATCGAGTTCGCATTAATCATTCCGTATAAAGAATGATTTGGCCCTTCGGGGCCAGGTCAGGTGGTAAGGGAGCAGGAGAGCAGCACCCTGAGGTGGAAGGTTCAAATCCTTTCATCGCTCTTCTTTCCCCTTGACCTGATCGCCTGTCAGTCCATCATAATGGGCTGATTTATCTACTCCGCGTATGTTGCAGGTTCGTGCGCGTGAACGTGGGGTTTGACCTGCAGACGCCTAAACCCAACTACGGCCCGAGCGTTAGGCGCGTCTGGTGGCCAGGTCCGGCGGACTGAGGTCTATGGGGACTGTTAGGTGCGGGTGGTGGCCAATTCGTCTCCGTTTGTAAGGGTAGGTAGTCACAGGGGTTCCCCATAGTTAAAAAAAAAAAAAGAATGATTTGCTAACTCATTGGATGTAAATAAAACTAACAAATATATTTTGTGGAATTTATTGCATGTAATTTTATTATTTATTAAGGATTGATTCGTTATCATACATAACGGCTGTGAATATTTTTCAAATGATTATAAACGAATTTTCCAAATTAATCGATGAGCTGTGAATACAAGTTATTTATTATAAATCAAGAAGACTCATGGATTAGTCGTGGGGTTGATCCATAATTACTGTACATACGGTTTATTATTAATGGTTAATCCCTCTAAATCCGTGGACTATATTGGCCATCATACCTAACAAAATTAATTGATAAACTGTGAATACAAATTATTTAATATGTTTGCATGTCAATGCGACATGGGTCATCATGCTGCCATTGTGGCATTGTCCTCTAGATGCGTTTTCTCCTTGATTCAAATATTTCAAATGTTAGAATAATTACATGTTTTTTGCAAATAAGAGTTTTATTATTATATATATATATAAATATACAATATATCAAAGTTGAGATGGCCGAGTTGGTCTAAGGCGCCAGATTAAGGTTCTGGTCCGAAAGGGCGTGGGTTCAAATCCCACTCTCAACATCATTAAGTTCTTTTATTATTTTTTTTTTCTCGAACCGAGAATACTCGAAACTGATCTGAACCGTCAGATCCATCGCCATGACGCAACAAAATCAACGGTTCAGATGTGACGGCTGAAAAGAATACAAAAACCGCAAAATGTGTAATCGATAAATCCCTCTCTAATCGTTTGGTGGAAAACGCGAAGACGGAGGCGGAGCAAATGGCGTCGCCGTCGCTTTATCTCTCGCCGTTCAAAACCCTAGCCCCTCTATCTCCGCCGCCTGAATTCTCCCCGTCGCTCGGTCCCTCCTCGTCTTTGAGCCACGGTTGCTCGTGCTCTTTCCTCGCCGTTCGACGTTTAGGAAGGACGACGAGGAAGGGGAGGAAGCATTCGCAGGTTGTGGCCATGGCTCCCGAGGAAGAGAAGCTCACTCGTCGGAGCCCTCTCGATTTCCCCATCGTACGTATCTGGTCTTCGATTTTCCCCCTTTTGCTTCGGTGTGTGAGATTCATCACATAATTTCGTGATATCTGGGCATAGCTGTTTAATCCGTTGCTCTGAACCTATGGAATCTGGGAAGGAGTTTCGAATTTCATAGATTTGTGGTCCACGTTTCTGCAGCGTGCGAAGATGTTGGATTGTCGTGCATTCTTGCGTTGGATTTGCCATTGATTCGCTGTTTTTGCAAGTAAAATCCAGTGGTATTGCTATGTTAAACCGGTTTCACATGTTTTCAGATCGCTAGAATCTAGGTTCAGAATTGCCTGTTTGTCAAATTGAGCTGAAAGTCTTTGATTAGGGGCGCATTAGAATTTGTGTAAGTTTTGGTACAGGCTTGCAGATTTTTGCTTATTTGATTCAGATAATTGGTTTGCTTCAGAAAACCCATGGATCCTATATCGATTTAACATTCATATGAATCAATTTAGGGAAGCTGAAAGATTTCTTGCTCATCTGTTTAAACATAATTTGAGTTTCATCTGTCCGTCTGAATGGTTTTTGTTCTCTAGTTATAAGCATTTGAAGTTAGTGAAAAATCAAAATCCGTTTTTCACCGCTACCCAATCCACACCATTCTCTCTAGTTATTTAGTTCGGCCATTCGGGTCTATCGGTTTTTTCCCAACTTGTGGTGAAGCAACTGATGTGATGATCGGTACACCATAAGGGCGGGGCTCCATTGATGTGCTTGACTTGTGCATTTGCTTAGGGAACATATCTCACAATGAATCCTCACGGTGTCGGCTTAAATGCCCGTCATTATATCCCCTCACCTGGTTGAATTCCGAGCTTTAGAACAATGGGAACCGCCTCATATTGATGTTCATGTTTGGGGTTCTGGCAGGAATGGGAGAGACCGAAACCCGGGAGAAGGCCGGACATATTCCCCAAGTTTAGCCCGATGAAGACACCTTTGCCACCCCCCGGGCCGTTCGATCCCCCGGCAGAATACGAGGAAGAAGACGAAGAAGAAGAGAAGAAAAAGGAAGAAGGGGAAGAAGAAGATGATCCCAACAAGGAAGAAGAGGAACAACCCGATAAGCCCAAGTGAAATTTCTCCTTTTTCTGTCAAGAGAGAGTCCACCTAGAGGGAAAAAAAAAAGTGTCAAACTTTAGTAGTTCTAAGTGATCTTGTGTTTGGATTTTGAGTCGTGGCTTTTGCCCCTTCTCCTCCTCCTGTTTGGTCATTAAGATAATATCAAAGATTTGAATCTTGTTTTGAGAATGGAGCAATTTTTGAGGTTAGTCTGTTACCGTTTTGTATGCTAAGCCAGAGACATGAACAGTTTATTTAGTATATCTCGTGTTTAATCTAAAAAATAAATATTCAATATTATGGGTGATTTATTCAGGTTTCAGTTTGACTTCATTTCGATTTTAGAAAAAAATATATGTATATATATATATATATATATTCGGTTTTATATTGAATTTGATTTGATTCTGATAAAAATATTTATTTGTTTAAAAAAATTATGATTCTTTCGAATTTAAATAAATGATAATCATTCGGTTTTACATTGAATTCTCTAAACTAAAGAATTGAAACAAAATTTTAAAATTGTTATACACCATATACCGTTCAAACAAACTCATGATTACATTAACCTTTTTTGAAACTGGTTTATATAATATTTGAGTTATGCACACACCATATCATAAAATGACAATATTGTTTTAGAATATTTGACATTGAATAGGAAATAGTATAATTTCCTGAAAGATTTGGGCTCTCAAGAAAGAGGCCCCATAGGCATAATTTATTTTTCCAATTTTGGACAACGATCTGAAGGAAAGCATTACATAAAGTTCTCACCTTTACCGAAACCTGTAAATCCCAGAACTCGGAGAGGGCCAGCGATGGCGTCGAAGCAAGAGTACGGCATCCCTGTGCCGTACGCCCCTCTTCCTCCGTCACCCACTACCCAAACCGTCGTCGTTTTGACCCCTTACTTCCGCCATCGCCGACCTTCCTTCCTCCGCCATCTCCGGTGCTGCTTCCTCTTCTCCGCCGCGATCCTCCTCCTCTCCGCCGCCGTCTTCTTCCTCTTCCCTTCCGACCCCGACATCAGTCTCTCCCGTATCAGACTCAACCATATCCGCGTCCGAGATTCCCCGAAAGTCGCCTTCGATCTCTCCTTCTCTCTCACCATCAAGGTCCGAAACCGCGATTTCTTCTCCCTGGACTACGATTCTCTCGTCGTTTCTGTCGGGTACAGAGATAGGGAGCTAGGGCTCGTGAAATCCCGTGGCGGCCATCTCCGAGCTCGTGACAGCTCTTACATAGACGCGACGCTTGATCTGGACGGCCTCGAGGTTGTTCACGACGTGATTTACTTGATCAGGGATCTGGCTAAGGGCGTGATCCCTTTTGATACAATCGCTTGGATCAAAGGAGATTTGGGTCTCCTCTTCTTCCGGGTTCCAATTCAGGTACCTTTCTTCTTTGGTGAATTCGTCAAGAGCTGAATCATTTCATTCGACATGCATTTTGGCGGGAAGTGATGGTTCTGAGTGCTGTGATTCATATTCAAGCAAAGGATCCTCCTTTTTGTGGAGATTTTGATTAGCAATCGCCTCTTGAATTCAGTAGTTCTGGTCTTATCTAATAGAGAGCGTTGCTTGTATAATGAAATCCATTGTTATGAAGAGGACATTGTTGTTACTTCTTCATGTTCTGTTATTGTCTATGAGCTTATTAAGACTATGATCCTCTTCTTATGGAAGCCAATATTTAGTATATGAAGTCTATCTTCTATAAGGGTACACGATGAAGTGTATATAATCGGCAGCAATGGTTTCATATATTACAGCACAATATATATATACAGAGGTAAGGGTTTAACCCTAGTACAGACATTGAGCACAAAGGGAAAGTGACGATATACAGGGATATGATATATATGTTGCCATATGTATGTATAATCTCTTATACGCCCCCTCAAGACGGTACACCGTCGGTGATGCCGATCTTGATACAGAACTCAGCAAACGACGAACGTGGGAGTGGTTTTGTCAGTAAGTCGGCTAATTGATCCTTGGAATTGACATGAACCACTCGCAAGGTGCCTTTCTCAATTTGTTCCCGAACAAACAGATAATCAAGAGCTAGGTGCTTCATTCTCGAGTGGAAGACCGGGTTGGCACTAAGATACGTTGCGCCGAGGTTGTCACAGTAGATGACAGGACTTTGAGAGAGTGGAACGCGAAGTTCAGAAAGGAGGTTGAGCAGCCACTGTAACTCAGCTGACGTATTCGCAACAGAACGGTACTCAGCTTCGGTAGAAGATCGGGAGATGGTTGCCTGTTTCTTGGAGGACCAAGAGAGAAGATGTGTGCCGAGATAGACCATGTAAGCTCCAGTGGACTTGAAGTCCGATTTATCCCCAGCCCAGTCAGCATCGCTGTAAGCGTGAAGAAGTGAGGGATTGTTCGTTGCAAAGAAAATGCCTTTATGCTGACTACCTGCAAGATACCGGAGAAGCCTTTTTACAGCAGTCCAGTGGTGGTCAGTTGGTTGGTGCATGTACTGAGCCAGCTTATTGACGGCAAAGGAGACATCAGGGCGTGTAAGCGAGAGGTACTGCAAGCAACCAATCACCTGTCGGTACTCAGATGCATCAGGTAAAGGAGTTCCAGACTGCAAAGTGAGTTTACTGGTAGACGCCATCGGGGTACACACAGGATTCGCGTCGAGCATTTGTGTGCGCTGAAGAAGATCGCTTATATACTTGCGTTGAGACAGAAACAGACCAGCATCAGTCCTAGCAGCTTCAACACCGAGGAAAAAGGACAGGGGGCCAAGATCTTTGAGCGAGAAGCGTGCCGCAAGAGAGGTGATAAAATCCGTGATTTGATGGGGACAACTGCCTGTGACAATGAGGTCGTCCACATAGATTAGGACAATAAGCTGATCCGAAGCCCGGTGACGAGTGAAGAGCGAAGCATCAGACAAGGAATTGAGAAAGCCACTGGCGAGAAGATGCGATCGGAGTGCAGAGTACCAAGCTCGAGGAGCCTGTTTGAGGCCGTAAATCGCTTTGTTAAGCTTGCAAACATGATGAGGATGATTCGTGTCGATGAAGCCCGGGGGTTGGACCATGAACACAGCTTCGGTTAGTGTGCCTTGCAGAAAGGCATTGTTAACATCGAGTTGACGGATCGGCCAGCGACGGGAGACAGCCAAGCTGAGCACAAGTCGGATGGTTGCCGGTTTGACGACAGGGCTGAAGGTGTCATGGTAATCGATCCCAGGGCGTTGGTGGAACCCTTTCGCTACGAGGCGGGCCTTGTAACGATCAATGGTACCATCCGGATTGTACTTGACACGGAAAACCCAACGACATCCAACTAGATTAGAGGCAGCGTCGCTCGGAACTAACGTCCAAGTATTGTTTCGGACTAGAGCTTCAAACTCAGCACCCATGGCTTTCCTCCAACACTCATGCTTCATGGCCTGAGTTGCTGTGGTAGGTAAAGAGCGAGGGCTTTCCTGTGAAACAACAGTAGCAAACTTTGGATTAGGTTTCAATATATTGGCCTTCGCCCTTGTTACCATGGAGTGTGTGTTGCGCTGTTGTGGTGCAGGAGACTGGGAAGCGGAGGACATCGGAGATGCAGGAGGAGCAGCTGTAGTAACAGGCGGACCAGAAGCACTCTCAGACAAAGACTCAGTCAGCGGTTGATCCGTGGATGGAGAAACCGGTGATCTAACCACCATGTTTGGTGGTGAAGAATCCGAGCACGGGAAGCTGTCCAAAGCAGGGTTTACAAGGGGAGGCCTAAAGGGGTGTATGACACGAGTGGAGGGGTCAAGAATTGAAGAAGATTCAGGTTCCGTAGCGGGGGAGGATAGGAATGTGGCTGGGGATGCAAATGGAAACACTGACTCGTGGAAGATGACGTGTCTAGAAACATAGACGCGAGATTTGGAGGGATCAAGACATAGATAACCACTTTGAGTAGATGAATAGCCTAGGAAGACACACGGGGTGGAACGGGGATCGAGTTTGTGGTTCGAGTAAGGACGGAGCCAAGGGTAACAAAGACAACCAAATGTTTTGAGCTTGAGATAATTGGGTGGTGTATGAAAGAGGGACTCATAGGGTGTCGACAAGTCTAAAACAGGGGTTGGCATGCGGTTTATGAGATAGACGGATGTGGTGAATGCATAAGACCAGTAGGAGGTGGGTAACGAAGCATGCATGAGAAGAGCTAGTCCGGTTTCGACAATGTGTCGATGACGACGCTCAGAAATCCCATTGTGTTCGGGGGTATGTGGTGGGGTGGTAAGGTGAGAAATCCCGTGGTCGGCAAGAAAAGAGGCAAGAGCAATGTACTCGCCCCCATTGTCCGTGTACAAGTTTATGATTTTGGTATCAAACTTGTTTTCAACCAATGCCTTAAACTTAATGAACGTATCACGAACATGAGATTTGTGTTTGAGAGGATATAGCCACGAATAACGTGTGTAATGATCGACAAATAAGACATAGTATTTGAAGCCATCTACAGAAACAATCGGAGATGTCCAAACATCGGAGAATAAGAACTCGAGTGGGCGAGAAGATGTAATAGTGGAATGTGAGAATGGTAACTTATGGCTTTTATTTCTGGAACAAGAATCACAATGAGAAGACAAAGTTTCTCGTGATAAGGGTAAAGAATGATGAGACACAACATGCTTAAGAACCGACAACGAAGGATGGCCAAGACGCGAATGCCACTCGGACAAAGTGGACTTAAGACTCGAAAAAGCTAGAATGGGAGAGGGCGGTGAGGGTGAGGAAGGCCACTCGTAAACCCCGTCTTTAGTGCTTCCTGTCAGCAGGAGTGCCCCCGTGCTTAGATCCTTCACCTGAAACATGTGAGGAAAGAATTCAACCGAAACCTTATTAGTTTTGCAAAGTTTCTGAACCGAAACCAGATTCTTGCGAATGGAGGGGACACAAAGCACATCATCAAGAGTTATGGAACGAGTGGGAAGGGAGATAGAGATGAAACCCTTATGTGTGATCGGTAATCCAGAACCGTCACCGATGACTACGTCATCTGTTCCTCTGTAAGGACTGTGAAGTGCTAATGCGTCAAGATCCGACGTAATGTGGTGGGAAGCACCACTGTCAAGCAGCCAAGGTGTCGAATCATATGGGGAGTGCACAGCATTGTAAGCAGATGGAGTCCAAGATCGAGGAGGGCTGGAACGTGTCTGATTAGCCGAGACATGGCGATCATTTGATCTGGAAGCAGAGATCAATTTGAACTCAGGGCAATATTTTGCACTGTGTCCTTGGACACCACAAGCCTGGCACCGACCCCTGTAGTTGCTGGAGTTGCCTTGGTTGACAGAGTTGGAGCGCCAGGGTTGATTGAAGGATCGCGGATTAGGACCATGGCGCCTAGGCCGAGTGCCAACAGGGTTCGCCGTAACCGGGAAAGAAGCATGTGGAGGAATAGATGCCACTGCCAGTTTTGCTTCATGGTTTAAGAGCTTCTCATGGAGTTCTTCAATGGTGATGGCAGTATCCTTGGCATTGACAAGGTCAACTACAGGTTTGTAGTCATCAGACAGACCATCGAGAATAGCCTCCAAGACATCTTCATGATCCATTGGTTTATCCAGCAATGCTAATTCATCTGTTTTGGAGGAGACGAACCTGAGGTATTCATCGATCGTTTGTGTACCTTTGGTGCAACGCTTGATCTGATCCCGGAGTTGTAGAATATGACCGCGAGAGGCTCGACCATAGGTGTTGGCCAGAACACGCCAGGCATCACGGGTCGACTTCGAGCGAGCAATCAGGGGTTGAAGTCCGACAGACAGGGCTCCCAGAAGCGAGCTGAATAATAGTCTGTCTTGTTGCTTCCAGGGCTGGAATGCTGGGTTTTCAATGGTGATTCCATCGGAGATCAGGACTGGAGGAGGGACTGCAGATTCATCGGCGATGAAACAATCCAGATTGTGACCTTCGAGTAATGCTCGGACTTGGACGCTCCAGGTAAAATAATTAGTTGCAGTGAGTTTGATAACACTTGACATGTTACATGAAAGCAGAGTTTTCTGAGGCTCTTGGGTGTTGAACGTAGCAGCAGTTTCCGGCATCTGGGTTGGCGTGGTGTTCTGAGAAGTCGACATGGTGGGATTGTGGTGGATCGGTGGTGATGAACCGCCGTGCTCTGATACCATATAAGGGTACACGATGAAGTGTATATAATCGGCAGCAATGGTTTCATATATTACAGCACAATATATATATACAGAGGTAAGGGTTTAACCCTAGTACAGACATTGAGCACAAAGGGAAAGTGACGATATACAGGGATATGATATATATGTTGCCATATGTATGTATAATCTCTTATAATATCCAAATAGGAAATCCTTTTGGCTGAATGATTTAGTTTATGATATATAAATTTCGTAGGCCCTTGTTCCTTAGCGGGTTCCCGTTGACGATTCGATCTTTTGATAATCTATTCGACTCTATGTTGTTGTGGTCTGTGCATTGGGATGCTTTGATGCAAAAACATCTGATGTTGAGCTTGCGAAATCGTTTTTTTTTTTCGTGCAGGGGAAAGTGTCGTGTGAGGTTTATGTCAATGTCAACAGCCAGACAATCTCCCACCAAGATTGCCGCCCCGAGGTAAAAGCCCGTTCCTTCATTTCAGCATGAGAGATCATGTCGGAACCTGATCCAACGTTACGATTTCGTTGCACCCTGACTGTGATTTCTAGCATTACAGTCAGACAGTAGAGCCTCGGCCCTGTTTAGGGTATCGTTCCTGTTTTACGGATCTCGTGATTGCACCCATAAAATGGGGTGGATGAACAAACAATCTAGGAAGCATAGATGGGTAAGATTAGTGATGGAAGTTGCCCTTAGCAGCCAAAGGGATGCGACTTTAATGTTGGGAAGTGATTCGATTCCGGGCAAATTCGGAGGATACCTTCCGGTAATCACAACACCGGAATGCATGAAAGGACTAGAAGAGTTGTGGATTTGGTAGTGTTTGTTCAAATTTGTGTATATGTTATGTTTCAAGATCAAACATACATTTCTTCTAAAACTGATGTCATCTCTCTGGCATGTCGAATCTGACATATTTGAATTTGATGCCAATTGTGCAGTGATTTCTTCCTCCATGAATCTACAGAGGTGGACAGGTTTTCAGATAAATCCACCTACAATGGATAGGTATATATACATATATGTATGCATATGTACATATGTGTTTTGTATATGTCTGAATCTCAGCCGTCGATTCTGGATTGAATCTCAGCCGTTGGATGCAGAAAATCAACCATTAACGATTACGGTTCAAGATGAACGATTACAATTATGGTAATTAACAAGATGATTAGTGACTTCTACAGGTCATTTCCCGATCTTTCCCCTGAGTTTAACGCCGAGGACTCTCTCCATCTTCGCGAGCACTGCCTGGTTCGGCACGGCCTTACCGTTCTCGTACTCCTGAACCACCTGTGGCCGCTCGTTGATCTGCTTGGCCAGCTCCGCCTGCGACATCTTCTTCTCCAACCTCGCCTTCTGGATCGCCAGCCTCACCTCCCCTCTCACCTTCTCCAGCGCCGCCGGCTCCTCCGCCTCCTCCAGCTTCCTCGCGCTAACAGCCGGCGTCGCCACCGCCGACGATCCCTTCCTATTCGATCCGCGGTCCGATTTCTTCACCGTCAGAACAGCTGCTCCGCTCCTCAGCGCCGCGTTTACTGCCTTCGGATCCCGGAGATCTTGCGCCTTCTGCTTCGACTTGTGCAGCACCACCGGTTCCCAGTCCTGCGCCACGGATCCTGGATATCTGCTCGGCATCGTCGTCGATGGTGGAGAACACAGAGAGAATGATCTGAAAGAAATTTTAGAGAGAGAGACTGAAATTCAAAAAAATAACGATGATATGATTGATCATGGAGAAAGAGGGGGGTGGGAGGGGTTTATATAGCGAGACCTTGGTGTCTGGAGAGTTCGATCATATCCTAACAATTTTAGTCTCTGGAAAGTTCCGAGTCGAGGCATATGACGTGTCGCTGTTTTATTCGTTGGAAAATGGATACGATGACGTGGAATTTTTAAATGTGCGAGATGTTGTTTGCGTGTGTACCAAGGTTGAAAAATATCTGAAAGTCTTTGAATGACGTGTAACATTCTTATTGGTCGGGAAAACCGCAGCCGATGATATCATCTCCTCGAATCCATTACGGAGATTTATGGGCCTAAAGTAATTACCATGAATGGGCTCTTTTGGCCCATTAAATATATTTCGGGCGGTTCGGTTCATTTTCTCGATACCAGAGAACCGGTTCGGTCCAGTTATGATTGATTCTGTATGGACTAAAATGGGCCGGCCTGTCCAATTCACAAGACTAATATATGGATGTATAATCCATTATTTTATAAATAAAAAAAATATGCGCACAAGATTTCTCAACCCTAAATAAACATTCATAGATTTCTCAACACACACTTCAAATATGTAAAACTATACATACACATACACAAAAAACACTTACTAATTAATGCCCATTTGATGATATAATAAATAAATATACGATATTGATCGTATCGTGTGTTTGGGTGATTATAAGCAGCAGCAGATGTCAACGTCGGTCTGTATTTATTCGCCATCGCCTTCTTCTGAATTAACTAAAATACACTTTTATATCACCCAAAAAAACTCTTAGAATATGGTTAATTTAGATAACAATTATAACACAAAAATGGCATTTAAAGACAGTATTATAGCTGTCAAAACAAATATGAGAAAAATATCACAATATTATTTAATTATACTCAACATTTTATTTTCGAAGGGAGAGTGATGTAACTCTATGTAGAGATTAAAACAACTTGTATAGTGATATTCGTCTGTTTTTTTTATGATACTGAATTTCATGGAACTTTCGATCCAACTATATCTCCCGAAAATTTAGAAAAAAAAACCAGATAAATTACTACCCCGTGACGCCCTTCGTACCCATGCCTGAAAATCGAACATGAGGTGAGACCTTGGATAATATTAGTCTAGTTGGTTGAGATGATAGATCTAATTACCTATACAAGACAGAGATTTTGTAAGATAAATCTCTTGATCACCGCCTTATGCAAACCCGACATTTTTATTTAAACCCGAAAATCATTCGGTAACCAATCTATCAACCCATATATTTTTTTAAATAAATATCAATTTGGTTAATTGTACGTATAAATAGATTTGCATGACCCATGCATGCAAAAGGAGTGAAGATAAACGAACTGATATACATGGGAATGGAATCGTACTAATTAGTTGGAGCGTCGCATCTGAACAGCGGAGTCATGCCTTGGTTCGGACAGCCAATGATTTGACTTTCCCGTAAACCCTAACTCATTTTCACAAAAAAAAAAAAAAAAAACCGACATAACATCAAACGCGTTAATGGTGGTTCCAAATCTTCAACGCCTACACTTTAATATTCATTAATATTCCATTAGTTCAAGAAACATACAAATCCGCCTAACCTTGAAAATTAGCGTTTTATTAATTAAAATACAAGCCTAGGGCAACCGATAAATCAAATTTGTTAATTTATATATAAAAAAATATGATTTGATTGCTCTAAAAAAATGTACTAACGGCATTATACAACTCGGTGACATATTTTAGTAGGATTCTCACATATATATATATATATGTATATACATACTTTAGATTTGACTTTGATCGTAAATATATTCATAACAAGTCATTGTTGTCATAAAAAAGGAGATAAAGGAAACAAATTATGTGCTAAAAATGGATAATATAGTTTTTTTTTATAATTTGAAAGTGTATTCGACCTTTGGTCCAACTACATCTCGCAAAAGATCGGGAAAATTCAAGTGAATACCCCTCTTCACATTTGAGTTTGAACCGATTATAAGATCATGTTTTACATATTCCCTTACATCTAGATCATCCAAATTTGGATAGAATGAATAATATAGTTATATATGTATATACATACATCTATGCATTTTGAATAATATACGTGTGTATATAAATACATACTTATCTGGTGGAGTTCATGAAGCTTATATATATATATACACGTGTACAACTATACATTTTGTATAGTATACATATATGTGTATATATATGTACATATTTATCAGGTGAGGCCATGAGGCTTTCTTATATTGTCAACGAGGCTTTCGGTTTCAAAGGGCTAAAAAAAAAAAAGTGGAAACTGGCCGAGGATCCAGCGGTTGAGATTGTGACACGTGGGACCCAACGGAGCGATAACTTGATTCTAAGTGTCTCCTCCATCTTTTCATGGGCCCCAATTCCACTTGGCCCATTCACCCTTTTGGTAGGGTCTTTTCGAGAACTTAAAAAGATACCCCACTAGTTTCAAAATTTAATTTTGTTGGCCCCATAAATACAAATGATCTCAAGAATACTTTTCGATATACCAAATTTAACCACGTACCTGTATTATAAACATCGTCGGTCCAAATATTCGAGAATTTGTGGCCACATATTTTTTTTAAAAGCAAATAAATCAAAATCTCGTAGTTTTTGATAAATAAAGATTGGGCTACGGATTGAAAAGGAAATTTTAAGGGGCTTTTATATAAATTGTTCAAATTTGAGGGGTCCTTTTCAATTATCATGCAATAAGATTGGATGGTCCATTTGTGAATATCGAGTGACGTGGACGGTTAGCATGCATGCACAAGAACAAGAACGTACGTTGGGTTTTGTTCCATTTAAAGCTCTATTGGTGCAATTGAATAATTGAAAATTGCATGACCGTAACCTAAATAATGTACAAAATGAAATATTTTGTGAATCATAAAAATAATATTTCGAATCTGTGTTTGGTATCATTTGATGTAAAATACCAACAACCAGTTAAATAATTCAATGTATATTTTTTTTAAAAAACAATTAACAAGTTGAATATTAAAAAAAAAATGTTGGTCGATGTAAGGAAAGACAATAATCATAAATTTCCACCTAAGTTTTTGTACCAAACACAAGTTCACAGACACATCAACTGTAGCATTTCTTCTGACTTCACATATAACTTTATATAAATCATTTCTTGAAAATGTATAGTAAATTATACCACCATATTCTTAAATATTTGCATTTTTGCCTTAATTATTGAGTAAAATTAAATGTTATGTAAATTATATCAGCCAGTTATTCTAATTCTCTCTTCCTTTTTCCTCGACCTCAAGCGTGGGATCATCACATTATATATTTTTTAATTGGTTTTATTTGGCCAATTTTATAAATAAAAATAATAATGTTTATGGATCGTGTGCATATCCATCGGATATTTGACCTTTTTTTACTATCGAAATTGTAGGAATCGAATTAGATTAAATAAATAATCCATTTTTTTTACATAGAACGAATCGAATTGAAAACACTGGATTTATTCTAGATATTCATTCGTCACCCACAATGAATCCGTATTAATATGTATATAGAATAAATAATTTCAAGAAAAAAACAATGTAGATCAAATACCTTTGCCATATATATATATATATATATATATATATATATATATAGGATCATTCAAGTTCGAAATAGGATAATTCAAATTCAATTAGGAAATCAATGAAACAAATACGAACCAAATTCTAATATTAATTGAATATTCCAATTTAGTGTGTGTATATACATGGAGAGCATCTAAGTCATATATGCTAAGATAAACCTAAGCAAATTTCGTGGGCATATATTATATACAAAAGTTAAATTTTTATTCGAAAGTTCAGAAATTTTTATACGGTTGAACTTTTATTAAATTAAACACTTGGATGGTGTCGTGTCATTAATTACCATACATTGTATAATATATGTGTTGCAAGACGATTTAAAAAAAACAATATGCATACGTTTATATGTGACGATGACATGGACAACCCAATTGCGTACACGTGGCAAGAAAACATAATTGCCAGCTGTATTTCTCTGACGTGGCAAAATGTCCCCACACGGTTTGCTGACATGTGGCATAACCAATCTTTCTGCAAAGCTCCAAAAATAAAAGAAGAAGAAAGTTATTAAAAGACAAATAAATATTCGTTTTATATGTATTTCTTTATCGAAATAATTTGTAACGACGGACCGTTTAGGTGGAATAGGGAGTCGGTTATCGAATTCTTTGTATACATGCTCTTGTACACAAAACGTTGGAATTATCCGGTTATATCGATTGTATAATTATTTTTATTTTTAGTTTACGTGTATATTGTATCGTTTTGACTTTCGTTTATAAAAAATAAAATTCATTACATATAGAAAAAATATATATTTCCTACGCGGCTGCGACCCATAATGCGAGATTGGTGCGAATTACCCAAGTTCCAGCCGTCAAATCTTCGTAATCTTAGCTTATATTTTGGAATTTAATATATATATATATATATATATGTATATTATTACACATTGTACTAATTGCTCATTATTTTATTTTGTTTGTTTTTTTCTTCCATTTTGGCTCCTCGTCGTCGTAATCTTATAAAAACAAATTAAGGTCGGACTGGTCAATAATACATTAAATTTTATTTATGCTTCTAGATAATCCCTTTCACGTATATATAATAGATATAGAAAAATTAATTATTATTAATATAATAATTATACGGAAAAAATTAAAAAAATATATATTAATTTAGATATACTGAAACATGCATTAAATTAATACTATTTTTATTAACTTTATAAAGATTAATTGATGTTATACTATTTATACATGATTTGCCCTCGAGCAATGGAATAATTTTGCGAATACGAAAACATTTAGTATTATTATGCCAAAGAACCAATAAAATGGAAGCGATCTACTTATAATTAAACATCTCGTATATTTTGATTAGCAAATGCTACAATTCGATTTAAAGCCCTTATTTATTAACATGAATAATACTTTCAATTACCGCAAAAGGAAATCAATTATCGAAAAAAAGAAAAAGAAAAGCAATAAATTAACTCGTGAAATGAACAAATGTCACCGGCAACCGGTGATCGCCATTAAAAAAGTTGTAAATACTTTCACGGTCAACCGGTTCGCCGGAATCCGGCAGGACCACCGACCGACTCCTCCTTTAACCACCTCTTTTATTTTATTTTTGCTTAATTATGATCAATATAATAATAAGGATATTTATTGTTAATAATGATAATTATGTAACTGCTTCTTTTATTTTTATTTTACTTTTTGTTGTTTGTGAAAGAGAAAGAAGCGTGAGAAAGTGATTAAGGGTTAACTAATCATAATTAGTTATGATAAATGTCACCTCAGATGTCCTTAATTATTCCAAAATTCTCTTGTTTTCTTGTGAAGGAATTCCACAAAAGAGGAGGAAATGAGAATTCAAAGCTGGCATTTTCCGTCTCTCATATGCACAATTCTCTTATATTTATTTATTTCTAAATTATTAATATTATGACGTTGTTAATGTTATTATTATTATTAAAAGACATTCGGCATGCTATTATGATATCACAAACGCTGCAGATAATATTTTCATTGTGAGTATAATAATTATTCACCATGTGCAAGAAAAAAAAATTGAAAATTTTAAATCTAATTAATTAAAATTGAAAATTTTAAATTTAACTGAATATAAATTTTATGATACGTTTCTCGATATAAATTTTGTTTTTGAGTGTTGATTATCTCGTAGATGTAATTATATATTTTGGTTAAGATTATTAAAAAATTGTGTTATTATGCAAATGGAATTTGTATCCATTTAAAAAACGAGGGTTTACCAAACACAAATTAAAAAAATGAAATTCGTAACGTATACTTGCAATCATAAGCTCCATTTCAAAAGTCGAACATTATATAATTAATTTAATTACATAACAATAAATTAAAAAAAAAGGGGGAGAGAGAGAAGAAGGGTAGGGGGTGAGCTGTGATTGAGCTGTCTCTCTTTCATTTATATTCCCACTCTCTTCCCTTTCTCTCTCTCATCTCACGGAGCTCTCTTCTCCCTTCTTCACAGAACGCCAAGGACCTCGCATTTTCCCATTTTGCCCTTCCTCACCCTTTGAATTTGCATCCCTCTGCCACTCGTTTCAGATCTGGATTCTGGTGTGATGAGATGAAGAAGACGATGACCCAGAACACCATACTTCATCCTCCTCCTCCTCTTCTTCGTCATCTACACCTCCTTCTTCTCGTCCTCGTCTTCTTCGCGGGTCTCTCTCATTCTCTCTCCGTCACCTCCCTTGGCCGTCTCTCCGACCACGAGGTCAAGTTCATCCGACAGAGACAGCTCCTGTACTACCGCGATGAGTTCGGCGACCGCGGAGAGAATGTCACCGTCGACCCTTCTCTTGTCTTCGAAAACCCTAGGCTCCGCAGTGCTTACATAGCTCTCCAAGCTTGGAAGCAAGCCATTCTCTCCGATCCTTTCAATTTCACCGCCAGCTGGGTCGGATCCAATGTCTGCAACTACACCGGAGTGTTCTGTTCTCCGGCTCCCGACAACCACCGGATCCGTACAGTCGCCGGAATCGACCTCAACCACGCTGACATCGCCGGGTACTTGCCTGAAGAGCTTGGCTTGTTGACGGATCTGGCTCTGTTTCACATCAACTCGAACCGGTTTTGTGGTACCGTTCCACACCGGTTTAGGCAGCTCAAGCTTCTCTTCGAGCTCGATCTGAGCAATAACCGTTTCGCCGGAAAGTTTCCGACGGTAGTCCTCCATTTGCCGTCGTTGAAGTTCTTGGATCTCAGGTTCAACGAGTTCGAAGGGTCTGTTCCCAAGGAGCTCTTCAACAAAGATCTGGACGCCATTTTTATCAACCACAACAGGTTCCAGTTCGAGTTGCCGGAAAATTTCGGTAACTCACCGGTCTCCGTCATCGTTCTTTCCAACAATCGGTTCCATGGTTGTATTCCGGCGAGTTTGGGCAACATGAAGAACCTCAACGAGATCATCTTCATGAACAATGGGTTCAAATCTTGTCTGCCAACGGAGATCGGACGGTTGAGAAACGTCACCGTCTTCGATGTCAGCTTCAACGAGATCGTGGGCCCGTTGCCGGAGGCTGTCGGAAGGATGGTTTCACTGGAGCAGCTCAATGTGGCGCACAATAGACTTTCCGGCAAGATCCCGACGAGAATCTGTCAGCTTCCGAAGCTTGAGAACTTCACTTTCAGCTACAATTTCTTCCCCGGGGACCCGCCGGTGTGTCTCAGGTTGCCATCGTTCGATGACCGGAGGAACTGTTTGCCAGCGAGACCTGCTCAGCGGTCGCCTGGACAATGTGCGGCGTTTCTGTCTCGCCCTCCGGTGGATTGTGGGTCGTTCAAGTGCGGCGGAGGATCTGTTACTCCTCGCCCAAGTCCTCCGGTGGTTCACCCATTGCCTCCTCCTCCTCCGCCGTCTCCACCGCTCCCTGCATCTCCTCCACCGCCGCCTCCGGTTTACTCTCCTCCGCCTCCACCGCCACCCCCAAATGTCACCG